AGAATGTGCATTAACATCTTATAAGGCGGCAGCTAACGTGTTAAATGAATAGTAATGTTCTAGTTTAACACGAAGTAGTTTATATATAAAATAAAATACCGACACAATTTTTTCTTCTGTAAGTATTCAATAAATCACGTACAAAGAAAACATATATTACATGAACACACAACTGACTAAAAACACAAAGTACTTATGTTTGGTACTAAGACAAAGAGGTGGTGAACGCTGATGTTTAACTGAAATGAAGTTAACGTTCTCATTGATGGTAAAGTGACCATTAATCTTGGTCTCTTCCTCTTTTTATATTAGGACATTCAATAACATAAGATGTTTGATGTTATAATTGTAATTCTAATTATAAATGTTAGAAATTTTGGGATTGCTTTAATGTCTTGGTGAGAAACTAAGGAAACAATTTACAGAATTTCAGCTATAAACCCAGTCTGGATGAACATAAACATTCTGAAACCTTTAATCCTTGAAAACCCCGACCCATGACATTTCTGCAAACTCTCAAACTATGACGAATGGTATTTTATAGGGTAGTCCAGTAGCTTAGGGCCATATTGGACTATAGCATCAAACATCGTATACGTGTTGTTTAGGTCCTTACCAAACATTCTGGAGAGAGGTGCCCGGGCTGGGTGGCTTATATCAAGGTTAGGTGAAAGTCAAAGGTAACATGGTATAAACTATGAGGCTGCATATTGCGATCGTCATTTTCAATCTAACGATATATTTCAACTTGACCTGATATCAGCAGGAATAATGATATTAGTGAATAGACATACTTTTCTATAATTTAGATATCTGTATAAAATCCAAGATGGCCGCCATTTTGATGCTAATTACTGTAAAAATAAACATTTTCATCTACATTCAGTTTGATGAATGCAACTCCTGAGACAAGTAGAATGGACTGGGAAAAGTGGATTATCTGTGGAGGTGCTGGCGACTTAAGTGATCCGGCAGACAGCTTTGATGGCAAAGGACTTAATATTCCTATGATTAGTTTCTGAAGAACGTAGAAAAATTATGACAACTTCAAATACTTCCTGCTGAGTTAGTTTGTACTGAACTGGACAGTGTGAATACACTACTGCAACACCATGTGAAATGGCACAAATCATGCCGACTTAAGTTTGTTAGTTGGAAAGTGTTAGAGAGTGACATGGAAATGAGCAAAAAAGTGATGGTTGTGAACAGGGTGAGAGGAAGTCTAATTGACAATATCAAGAAGGATTTATCAGAGATTGCATCTTTCGTAGGAAAACTCGGAGCATGTTACACATTTGCTCTATTTTGGAACTAGATAAAAGCGTGAGAGAGATTATTAAAAACTAGAATATAATAATTTATTGGCATTAATTGTAAGAGGTGACTTGGTAGCAATCGAAGCTAAGTATCATAATAACTGACTCAAAGCCTTTAAGAATCGCTACAGAAGTATGGAAAGAGAAAGAGAGAAGAGACCATTTAGTAATTATAAGAAAACTGTATAATCTCGTGTGTTTGTCGAGTTGATTTCTTATATCAAAAACGAGACTGAAAAAGGATACTACATTTTCAAACTTTCTACTTCTTAATCTCGGAAAGACAAGCAAGAAATCATGGCTCAAGAATCAGCTTCTTGCAGACTTTGCCACTGATTGTTAGGAGCAGTCTGACGGAAAGTACACTTGTATTTAACGAGGAGTTTCAAAACATTTTAAAGTTGGCAGTGGCATCACGTGACTTTAAAGAAGCTTTATCCATGAACCATTTAGTGAAAACAGTGAGAAAGATATATGGTCAGCTCTTTTACTGCAGAGTACCATGAAAGTTCAGTACCAACAAGCCTGAAATCATTAGTATCTATCTTCCTCTATGGCAGCAACATCAAAGATCAGACTGCTGCACCTTCCCAAGCCTGCCAAGAGGGTAAGGAGAAAAGTTTCTCCTGAGACAAAGATGCCCATAAACTTTGCCGCATTTCTACAAGACCTGAGCAACAAAGAAGAGCAATTTGCACTGCATATGTAAGAAGTAACTACCTGTGACTACCCAGCAAGAAAAGAAGTCTATATCATTTCTGGACAATCAGCTGCATCAAAATACAACATTGAGTCAATGCTAGCATCTTATAATGAAGAGGCTGACATTAGAATGTTTTTACATGTTTCTGATGCTGTGCAAAAGAGTACAAAGGCCAGCACAGTAGACATAGATGGTGTTGTAATCCCAGTGGGTATATGCTTTAACCTGAGAAAGCATCATCTTGCTGTACAGCTTTGGGTAGCCTTTGGAAAAGGAAAGAACTTCAGGTACTACCATATCAACTCGATCTGCTTTGAACTTAGAAGAAAAGTTTGGTGCACTCTCTTTCTTTCATGCATCACAGTTCAATGGCAGAGCAAAAAAGTTATCTTGGGAAGCATGAAAAACACTTCCTTCAGGTGCTGAGAATTTCTAGTTCCCTGTGAATCATCCTCTGTGATAGCTCAACTCAATGTGGAAACGTCAATAACCAGAGGAAGGAACTCTTTCCACAAAAGGTGCAACTAATTCAAACACTTTCACCAACACAGTCATCTCTTATTGAACATGTAAACTGAGCTGATTATTCCCAGTCCAGATGCACTTCGTTGGACTAAGGACAGCAGGTGAGAACCTTTGGGTAATCTTATCTAAAGCTGCAGGCAGATTATCAAGTGTGACAGTAGAACTGCACCACTGTGTTCAAATATATTTATGTGTAGTATTATAGGACTTCAGTGTACAGCACACTGTCAGTGAATATCCAAGATGACAAATTACCACTATACATCATGTATTAGTACTGTTAAACTGGGAAAGCATTCAGTTTGACCATTCTTGTCTATTGTGAAGTTCATCATGCCCCTAATATGTGCCCTATTTATTCAACATTTTTACTTAAATTTTGACTCAATTATCATAATTTACGAATGTCACTTCAATTGGTTATTTCTTATTTGTAAAATTAATGCTATACATAGTGTTCAAATTATTTTGTGTAAAATATTTTTCTTAAGAAATTCATTAAAGTTCATTTTTTGTATTCAATATTTATTTTTAAACTTTTTAATACTACATTTTAAACTTAGTTTTTAATCTATAAATTAGTTCCATGTCATTCAAACATCACTTCCTATCCATTTCCTAATCTTTATCAATCTAAGTAGAATAAGTCAGTAACTTATGTTTGCAAAACTTATCAAAGTCCATTTAAATCTGTTAGGCTTTTTAACACACAATTTGAGATTTATTTTTGGGAAAGCTTTAGCTTAGGAAAGACTATGCAATCACATTCTGTCCTGCATCCTGTGTCAAGCCCTTAATATAAGTCTATAGAATGTTCAATATGGTAGCTATCTTGGAGTTACGTAAATGAGAATTTCTGCAAACACGATGAGCCATTTTTATAAGATACTGTGGGGAAAATGTTTTAACCACTGTTATGAATAAATGAAATATTATACATGGCAAAAACAACTATTCATGAGTGCATTGGCAGCCATCTTGGATAACCTTAGGCTGACCTTGACCTAGCTCAGGCACCCCCTCTTATGGCTTCTGTGTGGGCCAAACAAAAAAGTTTTTTTCAAAATTTGGTGCTTTAGTCTAGCATGTAATAATTTTTTCCCTTGATCTACTGGACTAGGGTCTTTATACTGAAAAGTTTCATGTTGATAAAGTCACTAATGTGCTCTCAATGGACATAAAGACTGAATGGTGATGTATCACTTAATCCAAGAAAAAACTCACTATTATACCCAGGAATTACATACTGCACTTAGAACGTGTTGGAAAAAAGATGATGGTGTGAGACTTTTTCAAGATCATATCTTACTACTGTACCCATGATGTGCAAAACCTAAACTGATCATGTTTTCTCAAGTAGTTTCTACTTCTAAAACACCATATTGATTCTTTTATTAAAATGATAAACTTTTTTTACTCCTCTTATAAAACTAGACCAATATGCAAATAAAATACTTTACTGTATGTTAATAAATATACTTAAGAGTTAAATCATGTTGTAATAATCGAACATGAGGTTTAGCATTACTTTTTTTTCAATTTACTACAATGAAATATTCACCTTTAAAACTTTCTGTAATCTTAACAATGAAATATAATGAGCAAATACTGTATAAAAAGATTACCTCTGATTACAGCAAGTATTCATTTTAGTCTTGAAACAACCTAGGATTGGTGGACAGTTATATTAGTTCACAACTTTTAAAATTAGCAATAAAAACTGCCTGCTTTAACACTACCAAACATATTTTTCAACTATTTTTTTTAAACATGAAAACTAAAAAGTAGATGTACATATACATATGAATATTTTAACGATGGTGAGTTTGTTTGTTTTTTGAATTTTGTGCAAAGCTACATGAGGGCTATCTGTGCTAGCTGTCTCTAATTTAGCAGTGTAAGACT